GGGCTGCCGAAGAAAACGGGGCCCAAGCTAACGAGTGAGGCTGATGTTCAGACGCTCTGCTGCCTCGTGGACAACACTGAATAACGTTCTATTTAAAGGCAATGCCGCTTGCATAACGTTCACAGTAATTCCCGCTCCCCCACAGCCTCATACATTATTCCTGGGGACGTTTGCAGGAGGACAGTGTGTACCACGGCAGAATTCACCTGCTCCGCGAGGCTGAGCCGGGGGCAGAGCTCCACCGAGCGCGGGTGGGTTTGGAGTCAGGAAAGGACAGACCGCAGCGAAAGCTCTCCCGGGACAAAGGCTTTCTCTCTGGAGAAAACAGCAGAAAAAGGCAGCATTGTCTCCCAGCAGAGCTTCTCCCTTCCCCCAGCCACTGACTTCTGCACAGGGTCAGAAGAGCTTACATTTCCACACAAGTCACGTTAAATGCCATGGCGATCGGATCGCACGGATCGGGGTGTTTGAAACAGCACAGAGACTCGGGCAACAGCTCTGAGAGAAGTGACAAATCACCTACTCCTGTAAACGTTAAGGGATCGAAATTCACTGTCACCTCTGCACGTGCTGTGTCTGTAACGGGTGCGTTGAAAGCGATGTTGTTCTGGTGGCCCGGACGCCTCGCGGCGCCGCGGGACCCGCAGCGGGCGCAGGCGAGGGAGCGCAGCCGGGGAGGCTCCAGGGACGCTGCGGCGGGGGGCAGAGGGAGCAGCATGAGGCTCTTGTATTCAAAGAGTTTAATTAGCAACGAGCCATGTTGCCTCAATGACTTTCTTTGAGGAAGGACACTCCTTTCTTAAACTAACATCTGGCCAACTAAAACACAGCTGGAAGCGCTCCACGCTCAGCTTGCGCTGCGGGCTGCCTGCTCCCACCCCACCTGCACAGCTGAGCAAGTACCAGGGAGCGGTAATTAAACGCCACGCGGCCACAGCCCCAGGGAAGCGGCGACTCCAGGCATCTCATCCTGCAGGGGGAAGATACAGGGGACGGAGCTACAGCAAAGGGACTGGCTGGCCGAGGAAGGAGTGACCCAGAAACATCCCATTGCCTCAGTTACCACAAGAAGTGCAAATCCAAGATAATGGGGAACTAGCAAAGGATCTTGGAAACACCAGCTGGTGGCTCGAGCGAGAAGCACGCATGGGACACATCACTAGGAGAGGGCCCGTTATCCCAAACTCACGGCTGCACGCTGCAGTTTCATTCTCCCCAGGACTGAGGAGCGAGAGCGACCGCAGTGCTGCACGGTGGGCCTGGTCCTAAGAACAGCGCACAGCAGACACGTGCCAGCTGGAAACAGGTACCTGCTACGAACACGAGGGCTCCTACTGAGGCTGCTTCAGGCAACTGGAGGATCCCACAAGGCTGGACGCTGAAAAACAGCTGAGGGAGGGGAAATCAGACCCCAGCCCAGGCAGCGGCAGGACAACACCGTCACTACTGTGATCTGACCTGAGCCACAAGCTCACTGGAGTCCAGCTTCGGGGCACAGACCATTTATTTCTCCGTTTCCTGAAGGTTCCAGAATGCTTCCAGCAAAGAACAATCCAACGTCATTACAAACACAGGCGACAGGGCTGCTGACTTTCCAAACAAACCCCTTTTTCTTGGGAGCCACCCCACTACTTCCGTCCCCATGAAAGGCTCTGTTTCTCCTGGGAGCTAGGAGGAGATTTTACACACGCTGTAGCTGTAGGCCCACTGCACCCACACAGTTTCTGACCCACCGGTGACAAGCAACAGGTAGGCACAGACAGGGTGCACACAGGATTGGCTTTACCTTCACAGCAACGATACAACGCAAACATCGTTTTTCTTCTCAATACACCTCCACCTCACCTGCATTTTGCTCCCAGACAGCGCCATGTCGCCGTTGCTGTAATTTGCCAACGGAAGAGTGTTCCTAGGACATCTACACAAACAGGATTGTGATTTTATTACACAAGGAACCAGTTCTGAATCCTCCCTGCCCAATTCCCTCCCAGGAGCAGGGAGTAAAAGTGCAGAGAGGAAGGCAACTCTTGATCATCCAAAACATTTATTGTGAAAATATGAGGCTGAAAGAGAGATAGGTGAAACCATTAGAAATATTTATTGTTACAGCACACTACAGAGGTCACACGCCACCCCGGCTTTTCCTCCTAAGGAGACACAGTACAATCTGTTTGGTACAGGGATTAGAAAAGGAAGCTGCCGGCAACCGGTTTCAAAGCTTCCTGTTAGGAGCTCAGTAAACGGCCTCTTGACTGCAGCTACGAATGCAAGGAGCTGCATTCAGCACTAGCCCAACTGCCTCTCTGGACTACAGCTTTCACCCAAGGAAAGCACTGAGCAAGAAAGCACAGACCGTGCCGGGATATTCAGCTCCCTGACTGGCAGCTACAGGTGCTTGACACAGCACCACCACAACTTCCCCTGGGATGGTTGGCTCGTGTCTCCCTTGTTGCCAGAAGGCTCACGGAAAAAAAACTGGGGCATAGACTGTGATGCTCTCTCCTCATCCATGATGATGTGTGCCAACCCTATTTAATAGGGTTTACTCAAAGTGCTAGCAGCAAAAGCTGTGCTCCTAGGACAGGTCCTTTCAAGACCTTATTAGGAGAGTCCAGCATTCACTCCTATGAATTACAAATTAAATAGGGCAAAATTAAACAAGTTGACACCAAGCTAGCAAGGGACTAAAGGAGACCGAAAGAAAAAACGTTCCACAGAAATGTTAAAGACATCGCTGTGCTGATGAAGACAAGGCTCTCTCTGGTGGAAAAAGCGTGCATTGCATGACATTCAAGGTGGTAACTCAAGAGAAGGGGAACAACAATCTTGCCTAAAGAAAAAAAAAAGTCACAAGGGCGTGAAATAGGATACAGATCTGTCCTATTTTAGCTTCAGCTGTGAAAGCTGAATGAACGGTTGTTGTAACATGCCTGTTCCAAACACTGACTGGGGTAACTAGTGCATTTATTACATAGGTGCAGAAATTATTTTAAGCCTACTGCGCCAATTTCAGAAGAAGTTGAGCTTGTTTTCTGAAGTTTCACGCTAATTAAGAGAGAAGGGTCTGAAGCATGTGGGACAGTGGCTTTGTTAAGAAACATTAATTATGAGCTACTGCAGTGAAAGTGAAAATAGGGCAATTCCAAAGTGCACGCCACCTTGAGGACTCACACTCTGCATCCTGCCCCTCACAGCAGGGCCTGGACGCCCAGTCCAGTCTTTGGAACTTAACAAACATAGGTAAAAGGAAAAGAATGATTTAAAAAAGAAAAAAACACGTTTGCTGCTGGCCCATCACCACTGGTTGGAGAGCAGCACAGTCTGGGAATATTTATTATTGTCTAGCACCAGATCACATAACCCCAAAGGCAGTCACTATCCCAAAGGGCCCCCCCCCCCCCCATGTCTTTCTTCTGCTCTGTTGCAGAAGAAGGAATCAAGGGTTGTGGCTTCAAGAATATAATAAATAAAGATCTGCAATGTCCTGAAGAGCATCTGCAAGCTGGCACATAAGCTTGCTTCCAAGAACAGCTAAATCTGCCTGCCACCTCGCTGGCCAGGCAGTTTTCCAAATAATTCATCAGCTATGCCAACCCAAGTCCCTCTAAACCATGCTAAGTACAGAACTGTCCTCCACAGTCAAGTTCCCCCCCCCACCCCAACTACTTATTGAACAGTCTTTGGAGTGTTAATTTAAGAAGTTTCATACTTCATATCTGGTACAGAATGAGTCTCATTCACCCTGTTCTGATCTTTCCAGTCTCCTACCCTACGAGGAAATATCAGACAACAAGAGCTGGCAACTGGAAGCAGAATCGATCTCAGTCCATCTGAACGTTGCAAAGGTGAACTCTCACTCTGATGAGGGTGCAGAGCCACCAAGTGATGACTTCCGGCTCATAACATAGGCAGCAGAGTCCTTGTTGTAATTTAAGAGGTTTGTCAGATTTCTGTAACTTCAGCTCTGCTGTTACACTCAGCACCATGGATTACTGTAGACAGACAGGGAGAGCAAGATCTGAATGGGCGTCCTTAACGCCTGCCTCTGACTCGCACCCAGTGGGAGGTCAGCTCTTTACCTCACACTGGAGGACTGTTTCTTTCATCATTGTAAAGTCAAGCAATTGCTCTGAACTTAGCCCAAAAGGAAGAGCCTCACATGTGAGCTGGTCTTACACAAGCCTGACAGAGAAGAACTGTTTTCAGCCTGTAGCACAAAATGTTACAGCCTGCAGAAGCTCAAGACTTGTTGCCTTCTTTCAGCCTGACTGCATTCTGCCCATGCCCTTATAGTGCCTCAGAGGTCCTCATACATGCCAGTCACTGATTTAGATGAGGACAAGAGACAGAATCAGAACAGAAAAGCAAAGGGACTGAGAGGACTGAAGGCAACAGAAAGGTCTAGAGGGCTCATGAGCGCAGTGGCTCTTTCTCATAAAGCCTGGTGCCTATGACAGCCATTTATAAGCACACAAGCACTCTAAAGGGAGGACTTCCTGTGGATTCAGTCACAGCAGAGGCAGATTTACAGTTGAAACCAAACCTAAAGAGAGCATTAGGATTTGGAAGTTTTAGAGCTGTTGTTTAATCCTGGGACAGCACAGCTGAGTGAGTTTAGAATTTAAGATACAAAAAAAGAAAGCACTAGAAAATAATCTTGATACAAGAGCAATAATCAGCTGTTCCCCAACCTGCACAGGGAATCCTGCTCCACAATCCGCCCAGCACAGCTGGGATGCTGCCAAGGCATTGCTCGTTCCCAGCACACGCTGGGATGATAAACTGTCCTGGGTGAAAGTTACGTGGGGGAATCCCCAGAAGTGGGAGTTAAGATGCTGCCACCAGTTCTGGTTTTGGCCTGTTCTTGACGGGTGATGCTTCTGTGGAGGAAAGAGAAACTTGTTACAGAAACAGAATGCAAAAAAATCTCCAGGGTCATCTCCGGTGAAAGAACTAGGGCTCATATTGCACTTCTCCACAAAGCAAAAAATGCTTGTGGAGCACCTGGAAAGTTACTGAACTAATACATGCTCATTACAAACAATTCTACATATCCAATACACCCCTCTTTTCCACACTACTCAAAGAACAATTTCAGAATGTGCCCGACAACTTTAGTAAGTCACCAGCACAGCACAGCACGCAGATCTAGAACAGCGAGCAATTTCTCAAAGGGCAGAGGGTAGACATGCTTTGCCACTCACCTCTTTGTTGCACTAACAGGGATTTAAATGGGGCTACATGCAGCAAGGGCAGCTTGTACTTTTTTGGCCATCCTGTCGTCAATGTACAGATAGGACATCTGAGCCATATTTACTATTAAATAAATACTAAAAAGAAACCACCTCACTTCTAATATTCCACATTTCTTCAGGACAGATTTCACACAGAGAAAATGGCTTCTTATAGCTCCCGGCTTCCATGGGCATGAAAGAAATCCAGCTCTGCAACTGATGGCTCAGTGTCTGTTGTCCCAGGAGACAGACCCTTTTCCAGTTTAGTGTCTAGCACCCTGCTGAGTCCAGCCCTGCTTCACTGTTCATCTGAGTGCAGGAATATCTTCAGTTCTTCAGTGAGGACAGAGCAACTGGTAAAATTCTGTGAAGACTCCTTCCTCACCAAGCTATAGGCCAGCAGCATCCATTTATTCACTCTGCATTCTGAACTCTCGCCTGCTCCCTTAGCATCTAGCTGCACAAACCCAGCAGCTGAACTTCTCGGTTGCTCAGGAGCAAACAAGCACATCGCATCAGATCTGTGGAGCACATGCTCCCACAGTCCTGGAATTCCAGGACTCCACTGATTCTCATCCAACTGGTTCAAAACTACCATTGTTAGCTGAAGTAAAGTCAAAAGAGCTATGAGTTGTCATCAGCCTCATCGAAATCCAGTTTTGTGCAACATGAACACTGATATCTGTGGTAATAAAAAAAGCCTCCCTAATTAGCAACACATTGTGCTGATGTCCAGGGTACCAGTTCTTTGCTTTCAAGCAGACAGCCAAGGAAGGAACGAGTTCTCCACGGAGCTTCGCAATGGAACATACACTAGGTATTCCAATGCAGCTGGTGGTCTCACAACACGTGCAAAGCATGATTCGAGACCACCAGATGCAACAAAAGGTGGGAAACTCAGACAAATAACTAGATGCCAACTGAGCAGAGTAAGAGATTAGAGACTGGAATCCTGAATGTAAAGGTTCAACTGAATTTGTGTGAAGGAAGCTTTTACCGCCCATAGCAACACTGTTTTAAACTAAAAGGTTAATTCCTTCATGTTTACTAGAACAATACTTATGTAAATGAGGGTCTCAAACTATTGCATAGAGCTGAGAAGACGCATGAGAAGCCAAAGCTGCAGAGCATATGAAGAAAGTGTACCTGGGATCTCTTCTGGGAGTGGCTCAGAAGGAACTTCTGGAAGCTCAATCTGTTCCTGTAAGAACATTAAAGATGACACATAACACACGCCCCACACGCCAGGCTGTGGTTACAGAGCCCTGTGCCACAGTTCTGTGCAAAGACTTATTGGGAACAGAATATCAACACATTTCACATACAGACTGACATCTGCCCCCAGAGTTGCAGGAAGAGGACCCCAGATTAGCTGTGAAACCCCTCAAAGCATTGCTAGCTGCTGATCTGCTCCATCTCAATCTCCACTGACTGCACGTTTCCTACAGTGAAGCCAAGCCAGTGTTTGAGAGAGCCATAAGCTCTTCAGAGATGGGTGGAAGCGACAACACACACTAACTTGTGTTTATCTGAGCATGATCCAGGATGTTCACAGTCTTCATCTAGTAAAGTTCAACAGTTATCCAGCAAGACCAGAGATCTGCTGACTGCAGCAGAAATAAAGTACAATCCTTAAAAACGTCCCCTTTTTTAAAACAACCCCTGAGTGCAGAGCAATTAGCTTGACCTTTGATTACACAGGAATTGGGCACAAACACGTATAAATGGGATCTCTGGCAGAATGACACAAACTACCAATAGCGGAGGAAAAGACAACGTCTCCCCTATTAAAAGCAGCTTCTTGGAAACATGGATTAAAAGGAATTACAAGCACATCAGGTTAGTCCTACCTGAGTAATGGCATTTAATTCTTCTAAAATGGCATCTTCATCTTCTTCAGTCAGGCTGCCAGCCAGTATCTCATCTATTTGCTGTAAAAGAGAAAAAAAAAATATTCCAGTCAACAACAGGTTAGCAACACAAGCTCTACAGCTTATAGTAAGGCACGCAAGCAAAGGAAACCAGCGTAAACATGGGGTGCAGGAACACTCAAAATTAACAAATCTAATTTTCTGCAGGAAACAGAGGTTCAAATCCCAATTTGATTGTCTCTTAAATAAGGTAAGGAACATAAGGCTCACTGGACAAATTCTGTATGACAGGTTGTCTCTGCTCAGAACTACTCATGCATACAGTACGTACCCTCTGGTACTCCACAGCATCTTGGGTTTCTCCTATTATTCTTTCCACTTCTTCTATTGACATAACCTGGAGAAAAGAGGCAAACATCCATCCATAAGTAAGGCTTACAGGGAGATAAGTACAAATATTCAGGACTCTGCCCAGTCCAAGGCAAGAGTGTACTCGGCTAATTTGGTCGTACACACCTGGTGCATTTTGTTCAGACATTCATTGCCAATTTTCAGACCCTCAATGACCTTCATTTCAATCTGGGTGAATTCAATATCCTGGACCTGAAACAGGAAGAAGAAGAGGAAGCATCACAGGCCGTCATGTTCCCAACATTCGCCAGATAGAGATTTCCAAAGAGACGCTGCAAGGAGCAGGTAGTCAAGAGCCCTTTTCCTAACAAACAGGGGCCCAAATCATACCAGGTCAACGGGAAACATGCACAAACCCCCTTAACTCAGGCAGCTGCGGAAGTAAATCCAACAGGCCTTTAACTGATTTCCACAGTCTAAGCTGAGGTCATAGCTTCAATGGCCACCCCAGAAGGAACACATTTACTTCTGAAATCAAGGCAGAGAGACAAGCTTGAGGAAGTTTCTGCTTCACCTTTTGACACAGTGACTAAAGTTTTACTGATTTACAAAGCACAGGTTTAAAACAAAGCCTGCACTACTGACCCAAAACATGTTCACTACTTGATTTTTTACAGAAGAGTCATAGCGTAATTGTGATTTCAGAGATATCTGCACTTCTGGCAGAATAACTAAATCTCCATTAGGACATGACTGTTAAAACACAGTACTACAGAATCAAAAGACACATACAACCTGAAAAGAACACTTACACCAAGTGCAGATAACAGGCCATTCACAGGCTATAATAATTGATTCTTGCTTACCATCCGTTCCAAGTTGCTGATTTGGTTTTCTGTTTTATCTAGAAGTTGCTCTTGGTAACGCTTCTTCTTTAGCAAGAGCATAGCTTTTCTAAAGGAAAGGAGGAAGAGGAAAACTCAACACAGAATAAAGCAAATGAGCCTAGGAAGACTGCGCCGAAATTGTATTTGTTTGTATTTTGTTCTTCCAAAGGGAGTGGGGAGGGAAAACGTGCAATTTAAATGAAAACTCTGAATTGCTCCTGTGAAGAATAAGCATGAGCAAATACATCATCTGGTACCGAAAAAATTTAGGTGTTTTTATTGTGGTCTAGGACTTCATTGTGCTAGACGTGCAATAGCAATGCAAAACAGAGCCTGTGCTATGAAAGGCTTATGATACACATACAAAACAAGACATAGTAACAGGCCATTGACATGGCATCCACACGTGCCACTGACACTTTGTGGTTAAAAAGAAATGGCTACTTTTTGAAGGCCTGTTTTAAAACATCAACTTTGGGAACACAGGCAGTCTTCTCTTGATGCTACATATAGAACTCACAGCTTTAAAAAAAAAAACACTTCTTCTTTAATGAGTAATCTGCAAACATATTCATAGCTCGTTAGTAGCTATGGTTCAGTAGCTCTCCCTTTCCAGAGGCTTGAATAAAGGATCTTTTATTCTACAAAAATGCTACCTCCTCTCCCTGTCAGGCTTTTGTACCCATCCACTATGGAGAGGCTACACCTCCTCACTTACTCTTTTTTGCCCTCTTTCAGCAACTGCCTGGCTAACGCTCTCTCTTTTTCCAGGTGCAGGCTTATCCGCTTCTGATACTGCTTCAGTTTATCCCGCTGCTGCTTCAGTTGCTACGGAGGGAGAAAGACTTCGGTTACAAGCCAAGCTCTGACTTCGCAGGAGGGCTGCTGCTCAGCACCCCCAGCGCCCGCCACGCTCCCCCCTGCTCTTCCCGCTTCCCATCTAGCGCCAACACTCGCGGT